TTAAGATAAAGCAAACAAAACATACAAGGAAAGCAAGTTAAATATGAACTAAACTCGAAGGTAACCCCACTTGATATTGTCTCTAGTAGAGTCGCCAGTTCTGTGATACGGTGGTAGAACCGACTGTTATACTGGTTTTGCATTTGTGTTCGCAAATGTTCTGGTAAGCAAGAGTCGCCACCTACTTTTATTTTATCCAAATTAAGGAAATGGTGAAAAGAACAGAAAAAGATCTTTCGAGAATTTTCTGAGTAAGGGGAGTAGATTATGGAAAGGGAAGGTGTTAGCACCCTTTCCATCCGTAGTTTTCTACGGGCTCTTAGATGCTTAGCTCATTTTTTAAATACCTTGTACTTTGTGGTTTTGAAAAGTATTTTGGAAAAATACCTTAGTGTGGCGATTCGCTTTATGATAACTCATGTATCAGTCCTCAAGAGTGTTGATAAAACGAATGTTTTTGAAAGTATTTTTTTTGAAATATTTTTGTGTAAGTGCAAAAGTTTATTTTGAGCATAGCATCTAGGAACGTATCTACTTATACTCGAAAAAGTTTGTTCTTTTTCTCCTATCCTTTAGACAGTTCTATCCTACTATTAGTGAGTAGGTAGCCCCATCGTTGGATATTTGAGGGACATTCGAAGGGACGTACAGTCATAAAGGCAACATATGGAGACACTTTAACAATTTTGTTCAAGGGACGAGATCATTTACCGAAAGGCAACACTGTATGATCATCAAGGGACTATGATCTTTTGATTTACGGGTCTTTGCTAAAACGTCCCCGTTTTGAGGGACATGACTGTTTTACTTTCCGATAGGCAACCAGAGTGGGGTACCCTAGAGGTGTATATGTGAAAATGTATTGTATTCAGTTATTTTTGTCTTTTTTGTTAGGTTTGCTAGCGTTTTGATTTTAATCTTTGCCATACAATCCTATTAGTCACACATCTAGCAGTTAATATGAAGGCAATAGAAAATGCGGAAAATGAGTGTCCTACACTATTACAACCAAATCGAAAGGCAAGAAAATGTAAACAAAACAAGAACAAAATAAAGAGGGGAAATGAGTCCTTTGATCCAGGCAGTAGACTCCTTCGATTCACCCTTCTTTTGATTTCCTTAGATTGAGCTTGGGAGTTGGCGTGAGCAACCTTCGATTGCACCCTTTCCTGCTTCTTTCGATTGAGCTTGGGAGTTGGTATGAGCAACCTTCGATTGCACCCTTTCCTGCTTCTTTCGATTGAGATTATAAGTTGGTGTGAGCAACCTTCAATTGCAACCTTCTCTGCTTCTTTCGATTAGACTATGAAGCAATATGGACCTGCAGAGCAACATGAGTGTATATCCTTCATTCACACCCTTTGTCTTTCATTTGAGTCTGTACAGGTTAGTTCCAACATATATTTGGACAAGAAACGCAAACAAACGAAAAGGACATCAATGAAGAATATAACTAAAAGGCTATTTACATGTTATGCTGAAACGAAAAATAAGTGAAAGGCTATTCACATGCTAACCTGAAACGAAAAACAAATGAAAGGCTATTTACATGTTATGCTGAAATGAGAGATGCAAGGTCAGGAGGACTTACCTTGCTTGAAACTGGAACTTGTGTATGGACTGAAGTTGTTGGATGCTCTTGGATTCGAAAGGAGAGAGGCAAGTGTGGTGTGATCTTGTGGAATTTTTTTTGAGAATTTTTGGTATGCTTCTCTTAGGTTATGTATGCGCGTAAGGCAGTATATGTGTAGTTTCTGGGCCTCTGTCTCTAGTCTCCTGGCGAATATATGTGGCTTTGTATTTATAGGGATGTGAGGGTGCATGGAAATGGCAAGGGACAACCATTTAACTAGGCTTTGAAGGCCATGAGACAAGAATCCAACACATTGAAGATTGGCTATATTTGGATAATTCTTGCCATTTTGAAATCTTGAGTGAACCTGGATACATTTGAATCTTTCGAATACCTTCCATCCTTGATCTTCGATTCTTCCATGAGTTGCCTCCTTCAAATGGCTCTGGTTTCATCTTTATAGCTCATCCGATTGAGTCTATCTACATCAATTCGAATTGCTCAGATCTTTGATGACTCTGAATTCCAATTATTCAGAGTTTTCCCTTATCAGAGTTTCTTCAATTAAGACAACATCTGCATCAATTCGAATTGCCCAGAATTCTCTTTGTCAGAACATTATTCTTTTTGATGATTCTAAATTTGAATCTATTCAGAGTTTCCCTTTTCAGGGCTTCTTCAAAAGCCCCTCAGATCTTTGATCTTCGATTGGCTATGAATTGCTCCTCATGGCTCCTTCGATTAGACCCATCTATTTGCCTTAGCTGCTTGATTCAAATAGCCCAAACGAGAACTTCATTCTGGCCAGTCGAAGCCTCTTTTGTCACTTCCTTCGAATGCCATTGCACAGGAGGCTTGAGCCTGGCAACATGTAGGACCAAGAATCATCATAAGACAAACTTGCTTTTAATAATTATGTGTCTCCTTCGAATGGCCACCAATGTGTGTCTTTCGAATGGGCCTTTGGAGTGCTCTTTCGAAGGGGTCATATTGTGTGTCACAGTGCAAGACTGTGTTGAGGGGTCTTGGCCTTGTGCATTGAAAGCAAGCATAGAGGAAGTCTTTGCCTTATGCATTGAAAGCAAGCACAAAGGAGGTCTTTGCCTTATGCATTGAAGGTAATCATAGAAGAAGCCTTTTCCCTTGTGAATTCCAGACAAGTCTGAGGAAGCCTCTGCCTTATGGGTCGAAGGTTGCATGTAGAGGCCTTTTCCTAGTGAGTCGAAGGTTGCATGTAGAGGCCTTTTGCCTTGTGAATCAAAATAAACATGCAAGAGGTCACTGCTGGTGAATCGAAGGGAACTTGTAGGGGGTTCTTGCCTAAATGAAACTTGGACCAAGACTTGCTCGAAGAGGAACCAATGTGCAATCAAAGCTGATGGGCCAATGTTTGATCGAAGGGTCTTAGATAATCAATCGAAGCTTGTTGACATCCCAATCAAAGGACCCTTTGCTCTGATATTCCAATCGAAGGGCATTGTTCAGATGTCAATCGAAAGACACTGTTGACATGCCAATCGAAGGACATTCGGTTCAGATGCCAATCGAAGGACACTACTGACATACCAATCGAAAGACACTTGACCATCATTCAAAAAAATTCATTTTCTTTAGGCAAGTGTTTGTAACCACCCATGTAAGAGAAAACCTTGGAAAACATGAGAGGATAAATTTTGGGGTACAACAAGTACAAACAACAAAATTCTGGTGTGGAATTTTAGAGGGGAGGCTATTCGTGCCTTTTATAGATATTTCAAGCACTATGTGAACAATTATAGACTGGATTTGATGGTTGTGGTAGAGACAAGATGTGGCCCTTCTAAGTTAAGTAAGACTTTCAAGAGGTTAGGTTTTAACTTCGTTGATAGCAGTGTTAATAGAGGTTTTATTGGAGGCATTATGATGGCGTGGAAGTCAAATGCTTTGAATGTTAAGCTTCTCAAAAAGCATGAGCAGTTTCTGTATATGCAAATTAAATTTGATAATAAGCAAGAGTGGATATTTACATTTATCTATGCCAGTCCGCATAAAAATAGTAAGAATGTGTTATGGGAAGATTTGAAGGATATAACAAATAATATGCACTCCCCTTGGATGTTAGCGGGGGACTTTAATGATATTACTCATGTGAGTAAGAAGAGAGGTGGAATTCCTGCTTCCCCCAACGGATACAAGAGAATGCGGGACAAGATGGATAATTTCCTGGTTAGTGGTGTGGAGTCGAGAGGCCCCAAGTTTACATGGAGAGGACCATTCTTTCATGGTGGTCAGTGTATTTATGTGAAACTGGATAGGGTGTTGAGTAATGATGATTGGAGGATGATGTTTCCTGAAGCCTATGTGAAAGTTTTTATGAGGGTGGAGTTTTCTGATCACCATCCAATTCTTGTTAATATGAATGAGGAATTCCATAATTATATTTAGAAACATTTTAGGTTTGAAAATGTGTGGCTTACGAATGATACGTACAGTAGTATGCTGAAGGAGGTGTGGAGAGATGATAATTCCTTACTTCTGAAGCTGAATAATGTTATGGAAGGAATTGATAAATGGAAGTTTGATTCCTTTGATAAAATTAAAAGAGCTAAGAAAGAGTTGACGCGGAGGCTAGATGGTATTCAAAGGAAGCTTCAAGCGCAAGACAATAGAGGTGGAATGAGAAGACTAGAGAAAAAGTTACAGTAGGAGCTTAACAGTATTTTGAATCAAGAGGAACTTATATGGTATCAAAGATCCATAACTGTGTGGCTTGCAGATAGTGATCGAAATACCAAATATTATCACATGCAAACTATTGCTAGAAGGAAAAAGAAACAAGATTAACATGTTGAAAAATGATAAAGGTGATTGGATTACGAATCATGGCGCTTTAAAAAGTCATGTCACCGAGTTTTACAAAGATTTGTTTTTGCAGCCTCATACCGGTTATAGTTGGAAGCAGACTGATGTTAGTTTTCCGGAATTGGAAAAAGGTGCGCTTGACTTGCTAAAGAAAGACATCAATATATATGAAGTCAACAGAGTGTTATTTTCTATGAAACCTTGGAAAGCTCCAGGGCCTGATGGTTTTCCTGCTGACTTTTATCGGAAGGCTTGGGATGTGGTGGGTGTTGGTTTAGAGATGGTGAATGTCAGGCATACGTATAAAGAAGCGAATGAATGTACTCATTTACTTCCTAAACATAGAAAAGAAATGAAAGATGAGTTCAAAGTCTTTTAAAATAAGCCTAGGTAGCTTGTTAGTAACTTCGAGAATGATGTAAATAAAAAAACTTACCCTTCTAAACGCAACTTCACATCTAGTAATATAAGGACAAAATATATCGACACCATAAGAGCGGTCTGACACCGTATCTTCATACGGTCGTCAACTTAAAATAATAAATTATTTATTTATTGATTATTTAGATTCTAAGAATTGGTTTTTATGTTGAGCACGTGCTATCACGCGCCTTCCATTTTTTCGTTGAGCAGTTGCACGAGGTTGAAGCGTAACCTTTATCGCTCATCAATGGCGGCTTCTTGTGTTCGAATTGTCATCGTCGGCGATGTGGTAAAACTAACAAACTAACTCTCTTTACATTTGTATACACATAATAATCATGATAATCACTGAAAACTTGTTAATCTTTTCAAGCATGATTGCTGGAACTTTGAACGAGATTCAAAGGCTCTTCGATTCCTCCAGGTTATTTTCTTCCCTATTATGATGATTTCATTATCCATACGCGTTCGCGCAACAATAATATTTTCAATTTTGAATTGTGTTATTAATTGTTGTGTGGAATTAAGGTTCAACGTTCCTCATTTGGTATTCGTGCACAAATTGAATTAATCATGTACTTGTATGGTTTACCGTTATTTTCCTTTATGTTCGTTTACATTAATCTGGATTTGGGATTTGTATTGCAGTGCAGCCAGATTTGGTGCTCTTTACAGGCAAGTTCATTATTACTGCTACTCAACCTATCGCACCATGGCCATTTGTTTTTTTGTCGACCTGTCAGTGTTAGTGTCGGTGTCATGTTTTCAGTGTTCATGCTTCATGCTTCATAGTATACTGTTTCTTATACTCTACTGTTCCTACATTATATCAATGATAGTTTTAATTGTATTCGTACTTCTCTAAGTGTTTACATCCCTTTTCAATTATCCTGAATTGAATTTTGTTAGGTGATTTTGGTGAAGAAAATCTTGAAGTTGTTCGAAGTGTTGCAAATGTTGAATTTGCTAAAGCAGTTATATTAGGAAACCATGACTCCTGGTTTACTAAGAAGTTTTCTAAAAGGTGAATTTTACATGTTTGTCTTGGAATACTTTTGCTAGTGTGTGTTGGAAAACATGTTAGTTAATATAAATTTGGCATTTGAATTTAGTCAATAAAAGAAAATATGTTCGTCCGTATTGATGATACATGCTTTAGAGTTTACATTAAATCATAAGCTAGTTTCAAGAGAAGCCATTAATGTTGACTGAACATGGTTTACCAATGCGAAAAACATGCATCTTCTCATTATTATAAATAGTTGTTATCAATCGTAGCAATGTACTCATAAAAAAGAAAGAGAAAGTTATACAATAGAAAAAAAGGCATCAGTGAGCTTTTGTGTTTAGAATAATGTTTTGATGTTATTTTCACTGTTATTCTTATAGTAATATAATTATATCAAGGCAATCAAATTTATTTGCCAACATTACTCTGACCAAATTTACCACTTATACTTTTTTACTGGACACCTATTTAAAAGGGTATACTGCACAAGTCACTACTCCGGCCCAAAAACTCTTAGGTAAATTCTTGTAATGCAGCATGCTTCTCACATTATTCATGATTGTTCTATTCTTCTTTTCTGCATACGCCATAAATCTTTTGAGTGCATCAGAAACATTCAATTTATTTTTCAAAACATGAACCCACGTCTTCCTTCTAGAGTCATCAATGAAAGTAATAAAATATTTATTACCTCCATTTAATGGAACTTCCACATAGCATAATTCAAAGTGCACCAGCTCAAGTGGTTTTATAGCTCTCCATGCATTCGCTTTAGGAAAAAGATTTTGATGCTTCTTGCCTACTACGCAAGCTTCACACAGTTAATCGGGAGCTTGGATAACTGGAAAGTCAGTAACCTATTTCTTATTTGCAAGAAACTTTATGCTTTCAAAATTGAAGCGTCCAAGATGCATTGCCAAAGCCAATTAACATCAATAGCTATAACTTTGCAACACATATTAGCATCATACTTGATGTTCATTGGAGATAGACGATTCTTTGACTTGCTTGTCTTTGCTACGAGGATCATCTTAGCATTATTGATAGTGCAACCTCTCTTGTTGAAGTTTAAATCATAGCCTTTCTCAACAAGTTGTCCCACGCTTAAGATATTTTGACATATACTAGGTACATAGAATACACCAAAAATATATTTCAAAGATCCATCCTTCAATTTGATGGCGATCTTTCTTTTTCCCAAAACTTGAAGTTTTGAATTATCACCGAGCTTGGTTGTGCTGTGGAAATTTTCATCTAAGTTGAAAAATAGTTCTTTATTCCCACTTAGATGGTTACTGCAACCAGTAACTAGTAAGCATTGGTCATCATTTTTATTGGCTACAACATGACATGTTGTAAGCACCATTTTCATATCATCTTCAGTTTCTGCAACTTGAGCATGACTATCTCTAATATTCAATGATTTAACCCGATATTCTCGACCATAGTGACCATACTTTTTAGAATCAAGGCACTAAATATGAGATTTGCATTATGATTGAAAACGTTCGTACTTTTGACATTTGTGACATTGAATATTAGATTTGTTTTGAAAAGAGCCATGACCTTGTGTGCTTTGACTTAAGTCAGTTTGAGAATTCCTGCAACTACCTTTGGAACTATGTCCTCTTTTAAAGTGTTTTAGCCTTCTTTGTACATGTCCCTCATTTCTCACATTTGTTTGAGCTTTAAAGTTTGCTTAAATGTGCCACTTGATCTCTCGTTCATCCTCATCTCACGTGGCTCCAAAGATGCTTGCAAATCATTTAAAGTCATTGTAGTGACATCTTTTCTTTCTTCAGTTGCTGCTACTACGTAATTAAAATGAGTTTAAAGAGTGCGCATAATTTTTTTCTACAACATCTTTCTCCTTTATGTCAACACCGTTGGATTTCATTTCATTGACTAGTTTGTCCATACGTGAAAAATAGTCGTGAATGCTTTCATCTCTTCCTTGCTCCATTAGCTTAAATTGGCGTTTTAATCCGTGCGGCCTCGTTCGTTTAACTGGATCAACACCTTCATATGTTTTAAGTAAAATTTCCCAAGCCTGTTTTGGCATGGAAAATTTTCTCAAAAACAGATAGCTCCACAGATTGACATATCAAAAACAAAGCTTTTTTGTTGAGTTGACGATCTTTCTCAACTTATTTCTCATGAGCTTTTCCTTTATCTTCTTCAGTTGGTTCAACAAAATCTTTCTTCATAATTTCTCCATACTCGCTGGTTGCTATTTGCTAAATACAACTCCATCAAGCTTTTCCACGTAGGAAAATTTGATCTACCATTGAATTTGAAAACGGTTGTTTGCACCAATGGAACTTGATTATTGTTTGAACTTGTAGCCATTTAATGTAACAAGCTCTGATGTCAAATGTTGACAAATAAATTTAATTGGCTTAATATAATTGTTTTGCTATAAGAATAACACTGAAAATAACATCAAAACATTCTTCTAAGTATAAAAGCTTGCTGATGCATTTTTTCTATTGTATAACTTTTTTTTCTTCTTCTGAAGAGTCCATTATTGCAATTGATAACAACTATTTATGATAATGAGAAGATGCATATTTTTACCGTTGGTAAACCATGTGCAGTCAACATTTATGTCTTCCCTTGACACTATCTTATGATTTAATATAGACCTCTAAAACATATATCATCAATACGGATGAACATATTTTCTCTTATTTATTAATCTAAATATCTAAGTTTATATCATCTAACATTCATGCTCTTAGCTTCTACCAGAAAACTGAAGATAACTTCATTTTCTTTTAAGACAAATGATGGGATACAACAACAATAAAAGTACAGTGTGAGCAAGGAGACATCTTTTACTCATCCACATTTTCCTCTCTCTTCAAAACAATAGCACCTGAGCCGTACACATACACACCTGAGCCGTACACATACACAGAGACAGACAATCCTGTCGATCCAATAATTTTGGATTCAAGTTTTGTCTGTGTTAAGGCCAAATTGCATCAGGGGTCTTTTAACTTAATATATAAAGTTTCAAACAGGTCTTTTATTTCTCTTGTGTGTCATATAAGTCATTTATGTTTAAGAACTCAAATGTTGGACCATATTTTTATTCTTACCCAACAATTTAAAAAAAATAGATTATAGATTCAATTCATCAAAATAACATGTAAGTTACATCATAATGACTTTTACAGCATTTAATCCATCAAAACTAACATCATAATTTTTAGTTTTCATCTAAAACTTGTGACCTCGTTGTTGTCATCTAGGGTCTAATTGTTGTGTTGAGTGGTGAAATATTTGTTTCAAATTAGTTAAGTGGTGAAATATTATTTACACTTGTTTAGAATTGAATAATATATTTCAAGAATCTTAAATTACAAGCACTAATCTCGTTATATAAAATTTCTCTAATCTAATGGGCCTAACTAATGGACTAAAAGTCTGAATATAAATTACTACTAATAATATTAAAAATAACCTATTTACAACACTCCCCCTCAAGTTGGTGAATGAACATCTATCATTCCCAGCTTGAAAATAAACTTTTCAAAGTTAGTGCTGTTCAGCCCCTTAGTTAGAAGATCTGCAACGTTGTCTTGAGAAGAAACATATGGAGTGCAAATAAGATCACTATCTAACTTTTCTTTGATGAAGTCTCTGTCAACTTCAAAATGTTTGGTTCTATCATGCTGCACTGGATTACGGGCTATTCTAATAGAAGATTTATTATCACAATAAAGTCTCATTGATTCATCACTCTTTATCTTCAAGTCTTCTAATATCATTTTCAGCCAAAGTAATTCACATATCCCTTGTGCCATGGCTCTGAATTCTGCTTCGGCACTAGATCTAGATACAACACTTTGCTTTTTACTCCTCCAGGTCACAAGATTTTCGCCTAGAAAAGTACAATATATTGTAGTTGATCTTCTATCCACAATTGACCTTGCATAGTCAACATCACTATATGCTTCAAGACTCACACTTTCATTTCGTTCAAACAAAATTCCTCTACCTGGAATTCTTTTTAAATGTTGCACAATTCAGAGCGCAACTTGTAAATGAATCTCCTTTGGTTGGTGCATGAATTGGCTGACTAAGCTTACAGCAAAAGCAACTTCGGTCTAGTATGTGATAGGTATATAATTTTTCCGACTAATCTTTGATACATTCCCTTATCAACCGGAATACTTTCTTCTGCGTTCCCCAACTTTACACTTGGATCAACTGGTATACTTGCAGGCTTGCATGTTGTCTTATCCGTCTCTTGTAGAAGATTAGTAATGTATTTTTGTTGAGATATGAAAATTCCTTTCTTAGAGTGGGCAACTTCAATTTTCCAAGGTCTTAATCTCAAACGCTTTGGCTAAGTGTTTGCCTAACAATTGTTGCTCCTTCTCATCATCACCTGTTACTATAATGTCATCCACATACACTAATAACATTGTTACTCCCCCTGTCTCAGAATGCTTGATAAATAGAGTATGATCTCCTTGACTTTGTTTAAAGCCCAAACCTATCATAACTTTGGTGAATCTTTCAAACCATGCTCGTGGTGATTGCTTTAGTCCATATAAAGTCTTTTTTAGTTTGCACACAACGTTTGTGGTAGTGAGTTAACAGTATCCAGGAGGTACATCCATATAGGTCTCTTCATCAATTTCTCCATGAAGGAAAGCATTTTTCACATTAAATTGATATAAACTCCAGTTGTAATTAGCTGCTAAAGATAACATCACCCTTACGATATTCATTTTAGCAACCAGAGCAAATGTCTCAAAGTAATCTACTCCATAAGTTTGGGTGAATCCTTTGGCAACCAATCTTGTCTTGTACCTCTCAATAGCTCCATCAACCTTGTATTTTACACTGTATACCCATTTGCACCCTATATGTTTCTTTTCATTTGGCAGAGAAACCAATTTCCAAATATTGTTCTTATTCAGTGCCTCCATCTCTAAGTCCATGGCATGTTTTCATTTCCTGTCAAACAATGCCTCAGATAAAGAGTTAGGTATTGTTATAGTGTTTAAACTTGTGAGGAAGACTTTATGGGTGGGTGAGAAATGTTCAAAACTTAGGTAGTTGGATATAGGGTAAAGTGACTTTTTAGTACATTTTCTGGTATCTTTTCTAAGGGTAATTGGAAGATCTAAGTCCTTGTAGTGAGGTGGTAGTAATGAGTTGGGTTATGTTTCTTGTTCATGAGAAAATACAAAAATTGAATCACTAGTGCTTAAAGGGTCGGGTGAAGTTACCTCATGTAATGTTGGACTGGGTTCTTGGATATGAGTAGATTCAGGAATGTTCTTCTTTCTTGTATATACTAAATTCTTTCCAAATCTTACATCAGTTTCATCATTTCTATTTTTTCTAGAATCAAGTTCAATCTCAACTTTGTCACCACTAGTTTCAGTCTTAACTTCCGATTCGAAAGTAAGGTCAGGAAGAAGAGAAAACTCATCTTCTTTACTTATATTCTCCTCCTGAAGATGATTTTGAAGGAAGTAACTTTCTTGTTCATGGAAGGTGACATCTCGAGAAACAAAGTATTTATGAGATGGTGGATGATAACATTTATAACTCTTTTGGATAGAAGAGTATCCTATAAAGACACATTTTAACGCTCTAAGATCAAGTTTCCCTCTACCGTCACTATGGATATGGACAAACAACGCACACCCAAATATTCTAGGGGTCAATTACTTGAAGTAGACATATCAGGATAGAATGAGGATAAGACTTCCATAGGAGTTTTGAGGCAAGGACAGTAGAGGGTAAACGATTAATGCGATATGATGCAGTTAAGCCAGCCTCGCCCCAATATTTCTTAGGGATTTTATTTTGGAATAGCATAGCACGTGTTTGGTCTAACAAGTGCCCATTCTTTCTCTCAGCAATCTCATTTTGTTGAGGGGTTTTAACACAAGAAGACTCATGAATAATACCTTCTTTTTGGCAGAAAGAATTAAGGTTGTGGTTAAAGTAATCTTTGGCATTATCAGACCTAATTCTCTTAATACTCACACTAAATTGATTTTTAACCATAGAGAAGAAGTGAAGAAACACGGGACAAACTTCAAATTTTTGTTTTAACAAGTAAACCCAAGTAACCCGAGTGCAATCATCAATAAATGTTACAAACCAACGACCACATGATATATTTGGAACATTCGACGGACCCCGAACATCAGTATGAATTAAGTAAAATGGAAAAGTACTCCTTTTATTACTGACTGGAAAAGAGACACGCTTGTGTTTAGCAAGTTGACACACCTCACAACAAAGACTCTCCACATCTAAACTTTTAAATAATGAATTAAATAATTGTTTTATGACTCTAAATGATGGACGACCAAGGCGACAATGATATAGATAGACCTTCTCTCTGTTGATTTTAATTGATTCTGAATAAAGGATTTGTTGCTGAATAGATTTGGAGGAATATTTTGGTTATCCAAGTAATAAAGGTCATTCCATTGTCTAGCATTTTCAATTGTCCTCCCTGAATTCTTGTCCTGGAAAACACAAGCATTGTTATAGAAAATAACATTACATGATAGATCAGCTGTGAGTTGTTGTATTGAAATTAGGCTAGTCGACAATTTGGGAACATGAAGAACATTTCGAAGGATTATAGATGGACTTATTTGGATATCTCATTGTCCAGCTACAGTTATAAGGGTGCCATCGACAGTGGATATTTTTTTGTTGCTAGGACATGGTGAATAAGTAAAAAAATGTGTGGGTAAAGGTGTCATATGGTCAGTGGCTCCAGAATCCATTATCCAATATTGGTTAAAGGATTTATCTGAGGCATTAAATTCAAAAGAAAATTGAGACTTACCAAGAGGAAGTGAAAACGGAAACGTACCCAAATGTACCAACATAGAATTACCTGTTGGTTTCTCTAACTTACTAAGGAGGAATCTCAGCCTCTCTACTTCGTCTTTGTTGAGTTGAACCAATTCTCTTTCTAACATATGGATGGATGTCATGCAAATGTGTCTGACTCAATAGAATTAAAAAATCCACCAAACTAGTCGTAAAGAGGCCTACAACATTCAATTGTTTCTCTTTCTTTATGAAAAAGTGAATAGTGTCTCTGCGGTGAACAACGTCGCGAATAAACAGTATTTCCATCGGTGAGCAGTACCGCGGATGAACAATGTTTCCGTCGGTGAACAGTTTTTCCTTATGTTAACTACATATCATTTGAAGTTTGTTTTCTGCTCTTTAGGCCTTAGTTGCAAGTGCTGATTTCTAATTTTAAACTAACACTTTGATTTAAATGTAGTGAGAAAGATAAAGTTCAGCTTCAGCTTGAATGGTAAGCACTATATATTTAATTCATTTTCAGAGTTTCTTATCTAATGTATTAATGTCACTTTGTGCATTTTAATTTCTTACCTTGTTTCTTTTCAGGGTAAAGGATTTTATTGTTTTTGTTCTATTAGTACATTTCTGATGAGATTATTTTTTTGTCACAATTAATCGCTGATATGCATATGTAATTTTTAATAGACCAGTTTTCCTAATTCCTTGCTCGTTGAAGATTTGGAAAAGATTCTAAGATCTCAATGCTGACTTATTACCTGTGAAACAAAAATTCTCAAGTGTAGAGAACTTATCAAATCCTGAGGAAGAAATTAAATTACTTAAAAGCTTAATTGGCACCTTACTCAATTTACTGAAAAGATCATTTATAATGCTTTGTTTTTATAGGATTATTACATGGAAAAATTAATGATAAATGAATGTATTACTGTAAAGCTCAGCCTTGGCAAGGAGCATGTGGCTTATCAACGTTTAGATTTACCTCTAATAAAAGTAAGTGTTGTTGGTGGACGGCCATTTTCTCATGGGGGTACCTCGCTATTTCGAAAAAAGCTGCTGTCTGCAAGGTGTGTACTGTATAAAAGCAATTGTAGACTTTTTTTTAAATCTTGAATGAAGGGATCATTATGTTATCTAGTTATGTTTCTAATGTATTTCACATATCTAGCAGTACCTTGAATTTCTTGATTTTAATATTCACTATTTTCGTAAGGCTTATAAGTTATAAGTAATAAGTAATAGTAAAAGTGAAGTTTGATGGTCTTTTTTACTTGTTAAGAAGATAATGCTATATGGTTTTCTTACCGTTACTGAATTTGCCATTGTAGCACAAAATCAATATCAAATTTGAATTTTTTTTTACTAGATATGGAGTTAAAGACATGGATGAGAGTGCCAAGAGAATCCAGAAAGCTGCTCTTGGTACACCAAAGAATCATTTTCTAATACTACTTGCACATAATGGACCCACAGGTGCACCACAGAATCTCCTCTCTGGCAGTCTGGCTTGTCACACCAAATACCAAAATGATTCATGAATTATCTTTATGCAGGCCTTGGTTCTGGTTTGAATGATATATGTGGTAAAGATTGGGAATTTAAGGGTGATGGTGGTGATCACGGTGACCCAGGTAATAGTTAATATATGCACCAGAGCTCGCATGTCGAATTCTAGTAGTGATTTGCCTGGCCATTTTCCGTTTTGGTGGCCACGTACCATAAGATAGATCTAGCAAGTGTGATGGAGATGATGCAAATTATGCAGAAATGTGATACTGATTTTAACCTAGTTTATTATGTTTGTATGATAGATCTAGCACGTGCAATATCCTCTCTAAAAGAGAACAATGAGGTATCTATTCCATTAGTTGTGTTCGGTCACATGCACAAAGAGCTGGCACATGGCAATGGTTTTCGGAAAATGATTGTTTTTGGGGCTGACAACACCATATATTTGAATGGGGCCATTGTTCCAAGGGTCAAAATATTGGATGACAGCAACAAGAGAAGCTTAGACAATGAAAGTCCTGAGGTAAAAGGCACAGCAAGAGCCTTTACTTTAGTTGAGCTTTCAGAAGGAAGAGTTACCAAGGTTGCAGAAAGTTGGGTAGCAGTTGTCGAAGATAGGACCACATTAATAGAAGAATATGTATTATTCGAGCGCAATTAAGAGTCAAGATCCCCCATCTTCTATGTTCAGATTCCTGCTTCAGTCACATGGTATTTAATGCATAGACAAATACAGCCTAAGGTGACATATGGTTTGATACTAACTCCTTATATAAAAGAATACATCGTATTTAATGTTAATATATGGTGTAAGAATCGACATGGGCTTTGATACCAGTTCCTTATCTTAGATTTTGATAACTCATGTTCTTTTTAGCAGATAAGATACCTATCTGTTTTGCTTGTGTTTGCACATTTGGATACATGTTTTTGGATTATCCGGGATGTTGCATCTGTCGCCATGGTGCATGTGATGCCATGGATTCGGCTTTTGATAGGGCAGGTCTAGATCATTTTCACATTTGCTGTTGTATGGACGGAATGGCAATTGCAGTTGGTTGTGAGGTTCGTGATCCTATCTGGTCCATGAAATGTTTCCCATAAAGTAAAGGGTAAAGATAACCAGGACATTGAAGGATCACAAAGGCTAAACATGATCATGACATTGAAGAGTCTGATCCACTCAAAGAAATGACCCATTTCCTACTTGATAGACTTGTTTGATTAACCATGCAATTAACATGTGACATGTTTTTACAGCCTGTCATTCTATAAAAGTGTGGAGTAACATTTTCTCCGTCTGAATGTTTGGTGCACCGAATTCCAAGTGGTCTACGACCATACTTTTGACTCCTTCGGTTCCTTTACAGCCATTTCATAGCACACAAAAAATGTAAAAGGGAAAGTATTCCCAACCTCTTTTCTTGCTAATCAATGCCATTCACATTGATTCTGACCATGCTAACAGTGGTTAGTAATAACTAGGGTAAAAATTTGGAGCACTATTTTAGAATAGTGTGGTAAATGTGACAACAGATACCAAATGCTCATATACATTTCCGCCATAGTTAAGCGTTAATGCATATAGGTAATTTTTCAGTGCACCCTTGTTCTTTTTTTTTTATTTTTTATCCTGTGCGAAATTTTGAAAATGTTTTTTATCTTTGAAGATATATATCTAAACACATATTTTTTTTCATAAAATATTTGAATTTAAAAATGCATATTTGAATTAATCTTATTTTTTACTAAAAAATGTATTTTTGAATATAGATCTCTAAAAAAATCTTACTTTTTATGAAAAAAATATTTTCTGATATACTAAATCTTATTTTTTATGAAAAAAAAATATTTTTGGATATGCATTTTTGAATTTTTCTCTACTATAAAAATCTAAAAATACAACTAAAACCAAATTAAGTGTCTATAATTTTTTTTTGAATTTAAAAAAAAAAATAGAAATAGAAAATAAGAAATTTAGGATTTTTATGATGGTGTCCTCTATTTTGTCACAAAATAGGAGATTTTGATCTCTGATTTTTTTATGATGAACTGACATGGTAAATTTTTTATTTATAATCGGTTTTTAAAAAATCAATTTTTTTGTATTAGATCGTGTAAATATTAAAAACGTAGAAATACACAAGTTAAAACACGAGGATATTACGTAGAAAAGATTGATACTACGCTTATGTTTTGTTATATATTTGTTATTTGTTTTTTTAAAATAAACATGATATTATATAATAATGTATTGCGCTTTTTTTCTTTTAAATTCAAATATATATTAAAAATTTGACAACCAACTTGCAAACTCATAGAAAACTCTGTTACAATAACCTAACTTATATTTTGGTAGTAGTATGTTTTGGGGGAGAGCTTGAGGTTCCAAAATTCACTGATCGATGGAGAAAATGCATGTGAAATTATACATTTGTCCTTGTTTTTCTGTTATTCTGTTACAATGAGTTAGCTGCATTGTTGTGTATATATAGAACTGATTGTATACTTTTTCTTCCTAAGCTGAACAATACAGTATAGCTTCATCTCTTCTTGTTTCTCTTTCTTTTTCTTTCTCCTCTAATGGAGGTTTATAGTTTCTAACATGGTATCAGAGCCATTCCGATCCAACCTTCTTTTTCCTTACGTGATTCTTACAATCGTTCTTGCGTGATCATCACTTTATCACTCTTTTTCTTTCCTTCTTTCTTGTCAATGGCACCACCACGCAACAACACTCCCATTGACCCTCAACTCGATCCTACAAGTCCGTATTTCGTTCACCCCAGTGATGGCCCAGCAACTGTCAAGGTTGTGCCACCTCTCACCGGTGGTAACTATCATTCTTGGGCACGCTCGATGCGTCGTGCTCTTGGCGCCAAGATGAAACTTGAATTCATCGATGGTTCAATTCCCATTCCTGAAGATTCATTCGATCCTTCAACCCGCGCATGGAACCGCTGCAACATGTTGATAATTTCATGGATTATCAACTCAGTTTCCGAATCGATAGCTCAGTCAATCGTTTACATGGAGAATGCGCTGGATGTTTGGAACGATTTGAAAGAACGCTTTTCACAAGGTGATTTGGTTCGTATTTCTGAACTCTATCAAGAAATTTACTCTTTAAAGCAAGAAAATAAATCTGTAACAGAATTTTATTCTGAACTGAAAATTCTCTGGGAAGAATTGGAAATATACATGCCTTTACCACAGTGCACATGTCGTGTTCGATGCTCTTGTGCTGCCATGAGAGATGCTCGAAATCATCACAATTTGCTGTATATTATAAGATTCCTTACCGGCTTAAATGAGAATTTTGCAGTTGTTAAGTCACAAATTTTACTCATGGATCCTCTCCCTTCCATGAACAAGATCTTCTCTATGGTGCTTCAACATGAACGCCAAGGCAATTTTGCTATTTCAGAAGATTCTCAAGCCTTGATCAATGCTGTAGGATACAAGAAGTTCAGTGCTAAAGGTGGTACTTCAAATACAGCATCTAATGCTTCAAAGTCCAAGATTTGCACACATTGTGGCAGGACTGGTCACACAGTTGAAGTTTGCTATAGGAAACATGGGTTTCCACCTCATTTTGGCAAAGGTTCAACTGCAAATAATGCTAGTACAACTGAAGAACCAGATGACAATGGTGATCGTGCTTCAGCTTCACGTAATCAAGATGGACAGCTCCCCATAACTCAAGAACAATATGCCACACTTGTGAACCTTCTTCAACAATCTAACATTCAACAAGGTTCATCTACTGCTACCTCCAATCAAGTTTACTCATCTACAGTTACAGGTAACACATCTGTCAACATTCCAAGTAATCAACAAATTTCTGTTTATAAGTGTGCTGCAGTTCATTCTTGGATAATAGACTCAGGTGCCAGTGATCATATCTGCTCTAATCGAGCTTGGTTCCATAGTGTCAATTCTATAAAACCTATACATGTTAAGTTACCAAATGGTCAATTTGCCCTGGCCAAATTCATTGGTGTTGTTAAATTCTCTGATTGTTTTCATATTCCTGATGTTCTATATATCCCTGAATTTTCAGTCAATCTTATTTCTGTGCCCAAACTTTGTCAAACTAATCAATACAATGTCATTTTTCGTGCTTTTGATTGTTTTATCCAGGAAATTTCCTCCCTGAAGATGATTGGTTCAGCTGAAAAGATTGATGGATTGTATCATCTAATTCTATCATCCAAACTTGCTGTCTCTTCTAGTCTAAACAATGTATCTGTCACCATTCCTTGCAGTGCCTTATGGCATTTTAGACTTGGACACTTGTCCTCGACTAGATTAGAAAAACTGCATGCTTCCTTTCCTTTTATTGATGTAGACAAAAATAGCATTTGTGATGTTTGTCACTATGCTAAACACAAGAAATTACCTTTTAATAACAGTTTCAATCATGCTTCTCATTTATTTGATTTAGTGCATTTTGATGTTTGGGGTCCCTTGTCCACTAAGTCACACAATGGTCATTCATACTTTTTGACTGCTGTAGATGATTTTAGCAGGTTTACCTGGGTCATTTTGATGAAATCTAAGGCAGAGACCAGGCAACATGTCATAAACTTTGTTAAGATGATTGAAACTCAATATCATTTAAATGTCAAATGCATTAGAAGTGACAATGGACCAGAATTTGCTATGTCCACATTCTATAATTCTAAGGGCATTATCCACCAAACAAGTTGTGTTGAAACTCCTCAACAAAATGGGAGGGTTGAAAGAAAACACCAAGACATCCTTAACATAGCTCGTGCCCTTCTATTCCAAGCTAATTTGCCCAAGAAATTTTGGTCATTTGCTGTTAATCATGCTGTTTTCATTATGAATCGTGTACCAACTAGAATTTTAAAACACAAATCACCTTATCAGTGTATGTTTGATAGGGATCCTGATTTGGAAAATCTGAAAACTTTTGGCACCCTAGCATATGCATCTACCCTGCAGGTACATCGTACTAAACTAGATCATAGGGCTAGGAAGTGTGTTTTCTTGGGTTACAAGCAAAATGTAAAAGGTGTCATGCTGCTTGACATTAACACACGTGAAACTTTTATATCTAGACATGTGACACATCATGATCACATCTTTCCACTTAAACCAAATTGGCAGTATCATACTCATGAAAATGTCAGTCTTGAGCCATCCACTGATATTTCATCTTTTGAGAACACCATTTCAGCACATGATGATTGTATCACAAACATTCCTGATGTAACTCCCTCACAATCAGATGAGCCTTCATCAGATGATACATTTGTTGATACATCAGTTGATACACCAGCTGATACATTAACCACCCTTGATATTCATAATAATGTTAGTGTCTCACCACCATCTATCAGACCCAATAGAGTCAAACACACACCTTCTCACCTCAAGGATTATGTGTGCAATTCATCAAATACTTTGGCTGCATCATTCACTTCAGGTATATCTTATCCTATTTCTTCTTTTCATTCTTTTGATTATCTGTCTTCAAATCACAAGTCTTTTAGTCTTTCTATTACTCATGATACTGAGCCTAAAAATTATGAGGAGGCTTGTAAGAATGAAAATTGGAAACTAGCTATGCAAACTGAGTTAGATGCTCTTGCACACAATGGCACTTGGGTCATGGTAGAACTTCCACCTCATGTTAAACCTATAGGAAGCAGATGGGTTTACAAAGTAAAACATAGAGCAGATGGATCTGTTGAAAGATATAAAGCAAGATTGGTTGCTAAAGGCTATAATCAAGTGGAAGGGTTAGATTTCTTTGACACTTTTTCACCTGTTGCAAAGCTATCCACAGTGAGAGTACTCTTGGCCATTGCTTCTATTAATCATTGGCATTTACATCAGCTTGATGTGAACAATGCTTTCTTACATGGTGATCTAAATGAGGATGTGTATATGACTGTCCCACAAGGAATTACATGTTCCAAACCTAACCAAGTTTGCAAATTGCAGAAGAGCTTGTATGGTTTGAGGCAGGCAAGTCGGCAGTGGTATGAGAAACTTACTTCTTTGTTGTTGCAACTTGGGTACACTCAATCCACTGCAGATTATTCCATGTTCACCTTTACACACAAAAACGATTTCACAGTTTTGCTGGTCTATGTGGATGATATTATACTGGCAGGCACATCTCTCATAGAGTTTGATCGAATCAAGAACATTCTTGATGGTAAATTCAAAATCAAAGACCTAGGAACTTTGAAATATTTCCTTGGTTTAGAAGTTGCTCAGTCCAAGGAGGGAATCACTATATCTCAGAGGAAGTATTGTCTGGATTTACTCAAAGATTCAGGTCTCTTAGCATCAAAACCTGCCACCACTCCTCTTGACCCATCATTAAAACTGCACCATGATGACAGTGAACCTCTTGAAGACATCACTGCATACAGACGACTGATAGGTAGACTAATATATCTAAACAATACCAGACCTGATATTACTTTGGCTACACAACAGTTAAGTCAGTTCCTTCATAAACCCACTCAGATTCATCATCAAGCTGCCTGCAGAATTGTAAGATACTTGAAAATGAGCCCTGGCCATGGTTTGTTCTTCCCAAGATCATCTAACTTACAAGTGTTAGGCTACACAGATGCAGATTGGGCTGGTTGCATAGACACTAGAAGATCGACCACTGGTTATTGTTTCTTTTTAGGTTCCTCTCTTGTATCTTGGAAAGCTAAGAAGCAACAAACAATTTCCAGAAGTTCCTCAGAAGCAGAGTATAGAGCACTTGGGACTGCAACATGTGAGCTGGTTTGGTTGATGTATGTTCTAAGAGATTTGCAAGTAACATGTGTCAAGCCACCTGTGTTGTATTGTGACAATCAAAGCGCAATTCATATTGCATCCAATCCTGTTTTCCATGAGAGAACAAAACACATAGAAATTGATTGTCACTTGGTGAGAGAGAAGATTCAGCAAGGCATGATGAGACTCCTTCCCATTTCCTCGAAGGAGCAGCTGGCAGATTTCCTTACAAAGCCCTTACAACCATCCAAGTTTCAGTCATTCATATCCAAGCTTGGCATGATAAATATATATCATGCTTAAGCTTGAGGGAGGCTGTGAAATTATACATTTGTCCTTGTTTTTCTGTTATTCTGTTACAATGAGTTAGCTGCATTGTTGTGTATATATAGAACTGATTGTATACTTTTTCTTCCTAAGCTGAACAATACAGTATAGCTTCATCTCTTCTTGTTTCTCTTTCTTTTTCTTTCTCCTCTAATGGAGGTTTATAGTTTCTAACAATGCAATTGTATCAATTTGAAGCTCGAACCAAAATATTTATTATTAAATGGAAAAGTTAGAAGCATAGCGGAATGTAACATTTACTCTTATATGAGGCGAAATTAATGTGAGTTCTGTCACAATAGGTTTGCTTGTTTAAGGTACAGTTTGAAAGAAAATTGAATTAAACTATAATAAAAATTCATTTTAACTAAATCAAATTGTTTTAATTTATTAAAAAATGAATTGAATTAAAATTATTAATTTGATATAAGGCTTTGAAATTCTAAATCGTACTGAATCGTTAGAAGATAATTTTTCTCAAACCGAACCATTAATTAAAGAATCAAATAATTTAGTTATTTTTTAATTTTTTTAAAAATTTGTTTTAAAGTATTTTTCATTTATAACTTTCTAATACATAGTGTAAATTTTCAAAAATATTTTTAAATTTTAAAAATATATTTTCATAACGCATCTTATACTAATATCAAAAAGACTCTAAAAATATAATTTTGATTGAGAATTTTCAAAACTGTCAAATCAAGAAGTTCCCAAACTGATATCAAATCTTCATTAAATTGAACCAAATCTATCAGAATGGAAGAGAAATATCAATAAAAAAAATCAAATTCATCTAAATCAAATCACAATACAACCTTTACTATTTTAAATAAACAATTATTTTTATAAAAATGATCTAATATCAAATATCAATTGTAACAATGATGAAGAATTAGCGGAAATATATTTTCAAATCATTTTGAAAATGTATTTTTAAAATAAATTAAGTTGTGAAATATAGTTTATTTCAAAAACAAAAAGTTTGTAGGTGTATTCTGAAAATGCTTTTCAAAAATTTAGAGAATATTTTTAAAATTCTGTAATCTTTTTCAATCATATAGAGTGTCATAAGAAATCTTTGTGTGAGAGATCATATAGAAAATTTTGTTCTCGCAGCAGCAATTTACAGTTTTAGTTTCTATCATATTCTTGAAGCAGAAATTTTGTCTCTTAAAAGATGCTATCATAAACGCTATAGAATTGTATTTGGAAAATGTCATCTATAAGCGTATTTTCTCAACTTTGAAGTAAAGTTCGTGAAACATCAAGCGAACTCAATTATATATTCTCTAACAAAAGCGGTCAATTCTTCAACTAAGCATAACTTATTTCATATGAGTCTTCGAGTTGAATTTCTTTTTGTCAAAAAGAAAAAATCCTCTAAATTTTTGTAAAGTGCAACTTCCCTACTCAACAACATCTAAGTATGATGATATATGAATCTAATATAACCCTGCCAATACCCATTATGTATCAGAATTTTAGGTGGTTGATATAAAATAAAAGCCGATATGATTTGTCAACTTCGCTACACTGCAAATAGCTGTTTTGATATATCAGTTTTAGCAACCAGCAATGAATATCAAAATTGTTGTGTTTTAGCGGAGACCAATATTCTTTTTAGTTAAAATCTTACAAAGCTTGAAAACTCCTTAAACACTAAATCCCACTACCACTATCTATGAAAACTCCTAAATAGCATGGGGCATAATTGATTTCTCAGTTTTAAAAAAGAATTAACATTCCAGATTTGTAAAAAATAAAGAGAGTTTAATCACTACAAGAAACATGGTCCCAGCGACATATATTAGCGACGTGGTTATCACGTGAGTAATAAATGCAGTTGCGACGTGCGTCACAAACATATTTTAATGATAAATAAAGCAAGTCAGAGAAGGTTGTATAGTTAAAAAATTAGCGACGTGTCTTACACGTCGCTACAGAAAACGAAAATTTAATATGTATAAACTCTGAGACATTTAGTTGGAGGGAGTTTAAAATTATTTTGAAATTTGGTAGTGACGTGATAGCCACGTCGCTACATTTAAGAGGGAAATTAAAGTTGATTGATGACAGG